ATAAAATGGTGTACTACTCAGCCATAAAGAATGAGAAACTAGAGACATTTATAGCTAAATGGATGCATATTAAGGCCATACACTTAAGTGAAATAAATAGGACACACATGTGTAAATACCAAACAGTTTCTCTACTGTGAGAAACTGAAAGTATAAATAAGCATTAAAATGAATAATTCATAATTTGAAATAGGAAAAGGTCCAAAGGTGTAGGGGTGGTGGGAGGGGAAGGGGAAAGGGAAGATGGGAAAGGAAAAATTATGAGAAAAGAAAAAAAAATGGAAACAAAATCTATGTAAATAGCGAAGGGCGCACAGGCAATGGGGAAAAAATAAGAACTAAGATACATCATTTACAGGTATAAGCACCCAATGATAAATGTAAATGTATTGTATACCTAAAATGTACCAATAAAAGAATAAAAAAAACCCCAAAAAACCATTCATTCCCTTACACACGCACCTGTAAGGCCTGCTGCTCCGAAGGAGGAGGCATTACTCGAAGCCCTGGAGGCCATCTTGATTCAGGTGAGAATCCCCTGAGCCATTTGTGGAGGTGCCTGGGGGTTAGGGCCCCCCTGCCTTTCAGCTTCCAGTCCTTGCCTGTGAGAATGTTGAGGGCCCTCTGGGCACTGGCAAAAGTTTTGAATTCTGAAAGCAAGAATACACACCCATCTTCTGTCATTAAGGGCCAAGAAAGCTGATTACCATGCAAGCTAGAACCTAGCGAGGGCCCTAGGGGAAGGACCAGAGCAGGGGCTGCTGCCTTTGTTCACCCCAGGAGAGCTCATCTGGTAAACCTTTCCCTTCTCTGAACTCTGTTATCACCATCCTCAAGCTCTTCCTCCAGGGACACACTGGGTGGCAGACTTACTCATGAAACAGAATTTTTTCTGCTTTCCACTTTCAAGATCTTTAGGAAGGATCACAGCTTCCAGGCCTGGGAAGTGGCTGGACACATGAAATATGTGATCTTTGAAGGATTCACTCACTCCTGACAGATAAATAGTATCTCGGTTCTCAGAATCTCGTTCCAGCTCTTTCATAAGAATGTCACAGTCAAGGGTAAGCTCTGTCACAGGCCTCTGCACCTAACCAAGAAAAGGTGAGGTTAGTGGGAGAAAGTCACTGCTTTCATCCTCAGGCCTGTGGACATTAGTAACTTACTTTTGCAGCTTCCTAATCTATAAGGATGCTAGTGATAACTGCCTCACAGAACTATAATTAGAGATTTAATTGATAAGTGTATGAAGATATTTTCAGTAAATATATTCTCTTCAGTTCACTGCCCCTCACCTCCAGTGAAATTCTGCTTATTTGCCAAAAAAACTTTGAAATCCAACCTTCTGATCCCTCTGAAAGTTGGACACATAGAATAAACCAGGTAGGGCCTGAATAGTGATAAGGAATATAAAGAACTCAATCTAGCCCAGGATGATTATAACAAAAAGAGAAAGTCTTAGGTCACTGCTAAGAGAATGCCAGACTTGGCTGAAGACATTCCATAACAGAAAGTGTTACAGGCCTGGGCTTTTCTAGGGCATTTCCTGTATGTCTTGGAACATTGTAGATACAGGCTGTGCTAGCCCAGGTCTGGCTGAAAGGCTGCTTTCAGCTTTCTCCGACCACCCTACCTTGATGCAGATACCTTCCACCACAATGCCATTCAAGGACTCTATGGCCAGCTGAGCAGCTTCCAGGACTTCATACTGTACACAGAGATGAGGCTGCAGAAAGATCAAGATTTCCTCCTTGTTGCTTTCCAGCTAAGGGACCCAAATTACAGTGGCCAGAGCCACCAGAACAGATGCCCTTACTGTGCAAGGCTAAATAAGTATGGGCCACCAGTGTCAACTTTAAGTAGAATTGTCAAAGGTTCAAAAACTGGTTCTCTGACAATAACTAACCTTTATTTGCCACTCAAAATCAATGTCCATTGCCCTGAGTAATATGAGCAAAGCACTAAAGAAACTCCTTAATATCCAACTTGCTTTCCATAGTATTTATTATAATTCACTAATGTCATTAATGAAAATCATAGGCTGAGATTTCCATTTGTTTTATTAGCTTACTTTTAAATGGGCAACTTTCCTATAAGCTTGGGGAGACTAAGCTAAGATTGGCCAGGGCATATCTTTAAAAAGTATGAATTTCAGCTTAATGACTTAGAGTAGCTAAATCTTTGTGATTATCTGAGCCATAACATCATTATGAAGATAAAAGCCCTCACACAGGAACACTTTATAACAACATTGCTTTTGGCAATGATTTCTTGAAGATGACACCAAAGGCAGACAACAAAAGAAAACATAAATAAACTGGACTGCATCAAAATTAAAAACGTGTGTGTATCAAAGGGCACTAAAGAGCCAAAAGGCAACCTACAGAATGGGAGGAAATACTAAATCAGATGTCTGAGAAGGGACTAGCATCCAAAATTTACAGAGAACTCCTATAAATAATATAAAACCCAAATGATCTGATTAAAAATGGGCAAGCATCTGAATAGGTATTTATCCAAAAGAAGATAAAAAATGGCCAATGATGCTTAATATCACTAATTATTAGGAAAATTCAAATCAAAATTAAAGTGGGATACTACTTCCTATCTACTAGGATGGCTATGATTGAAAAGAGAAGAAAAGAAGTACTAATGTCCTGGATGTAGAGAAATTAGAACACTTTTTATTTGCTTATGGGAAATGTAAAATGGTGTAGATGTTATGGAAAACGGTATGGTGCTTCTTCAGAAACTTAAAATTATTTTTTACTTTTTTTTTGGTACCAGACATCGAACTCAGGACCTTGTGCTTGCGAGGCAGGCACGGGGCCAATGAGGTAAATCCCCGGCCCTTAGAATTATTTTTTGATACATCAATTCTACTTCTGGGTATATGCAAAGACTTGAAAAGTAAAACTTGAATAGATTATATATCCATGTTCAAAGGAGCATGATTCACAATAGCCAAAAGGTAGAAATAACCCAAATGTCCATTAATGAAAGAATGGATAAAATGTTGTATACATACAAAATGAAATGGAATTGTGAGCCATGCTAAAACACAGATGAGCAATGAAGATATTATACACAAAGTGAAATAAGCCAGACACAAAAAGACAAACCCTGTATCATTCTATTTATATGAAATGAATACAGCTGTCAAATTCATAACACCAGAAAGTAGCAGTGGTTATAAGGGGCTGAGAAGGAAAGAAGGTAATGGGGAATGTCAGTTTAGAATAATAAAAAACCTTTGTAGATGTATGGTAGTGATGGTTACAGAATTTAATGTATTTACAGGCCAGGGATTTAGCTCAGTGGCACCGCGCCTGCCTCACAAGTGCAAGGTCCTGAGTTTGATCCCTGTACTAAAGGAAAAAAAAAAAATTAATGTATTTAAATGCCACTGAAAATGGTGGAAAGGGTATACATTACGTGATATATATTTTGCACACACACAAAAACCAATAGAAAGACCTGTAAAAAGAGGTTACAGTGCCTTCCAACCAACTTCCCATCCCCCAGTCCATCTTCTCAGAAATCATCTTTCTAATTTTCGTCACAGGAAAGACATTAATGAACAATTTGGGGAAAGCACATTTTTAAAATATCTGGGATTCTTCACTTAGATCACTTTGGAAGTTTTTATGTTTTTGCTTCATTTTAATAGCTATTAAAGTATCTAATAGTTGCCTAATTCCAAATTCTAAAGGTACAAACAATGTAGAGTGAAGTCTACCTAAACCCCCTTTCCTCAGCTACCTTGATCCTCTCTCTGAAGCTATTATTTCCAATTATTGTATATTGTTCTATACATATTCTGTTATACTAGTTCTAATTCTTTTCATGGTTCCCTCCACGTCTTTATATGTGCTTATAATATTATCACTTTGGATATCAACCTTGGTCTTTACTGAATCAAATTCAATGGTTGGGTTCAATGTTGACCTTATGGGGAAATTTAATTCAGTTTTTGTCCAATTCAGTTTGTGACCAGAAGAATTATGGAAAGACTTAAGTTTGTGAACTGAAGTACCACACTGTATTTTATCATTTAAAGCTGGTATCACAATCAGAAGGCCCATAGGCTACATTCAACCAGCAGACATACTTTTGATTTGGTCTACAAGAATTTAAGAATGTCGGAATCATATGAAAACTGGCAGATTTCTCAATTTTCAAAACAAAATAAAACAAAAAACTGTACATATAAAAACAGAAGTTCGGGCAATCCTAAGAATAAGGTGTAATTGAAAAATACAGTAAATGTTTAAATTTTTAAAATTTATTACCATGAAAGACACACTGCCATTAATCTCTCTTAAAATACTTCCCCTCGCTTCAAACAGTTATCCCACCATTCTTACCACTTCCTGAAGCAGCTCTGGCAGTCCTCTTTTGTGAGTGTTTTTATGCAATATGATCAAAAATACAATGAATCCTGTCAAGTATCATCAACAAAAAGGCAGGCTTGTGAAAGCATTATGGTGTGTCCTTATCTACCTTATTCAATGGACTTCTGACTCTTCCCCAAATGCCCGTGTGAAAGGTAAATGTTTTGAATCAATTCAGGACATCGAGAGGCAACCACAATAGCACAAGTAAAGACACAAAAGAGGACTTCTAGAACTGCTTCAGAAAATAGCAAGACAATGGGATCAGTGTTTGAAGCAAAGAGGAATATTTTGAGGGGGCTTAGTGGCAGTGTGTCTTTTACTGTAATAAATTTTTTTAACATTCACCATATATTTTGATCATCTCCTGTACATTCTTATGAGTCAACAACTGCTGCCAGCAGTCACAGCTAAAGACAATGAAACTTACTTCACAAAGTCATCTGAATTCCTAACACTAATCTAGTAAATCAAAATCTGGATTTTCTAGCCTCCTTACCTGATAAGTTTCAAGAACAAAAGACATTGACTGAATTGGGCCAAAGCTTTTCAAAAGCCTCTTCAGAGGCCTGAAGTTGTAAGTTCTGCTAACTGGCCCAGCATAGACAGTTGACATCTCTCTCCATTTGGTCTTCATCTATAAGAAAAACAACAGAACATAACGAAGAGGTGGACGTGGAAAGAAAATTCAAACCATGAGTCAAAACATGGGATAATCCCATCCTCAAGAAATTTTGGCAAAATACTTGCCAAATGTACAAGAATCTGTATACAATGATGTTTGCTGCAACACTGTTTATAACAGAAAAATTTATAAAGCATAAATGCTATCAGTAATAAGTATACCATACAGTGAAATAGCATGCAATCCTTAAAAATAAGAGAAATAAGACATACAGTGACCTGGAAAAATGCAGAAGATACATTGTTTAAATGAAAAATAAAGTTACAAAACAGTATGCATGCCTGATTCCTTTTTTTATAAAAATTAAATAAACTGTTTGGCAAACCCCATCTACTTACCCTTTTACTCATCTCCTCAGTGAAGACAGGTGTAAAGGGGTCAAAAGAGAACTGGACAATGCTGAAGGGAAAGAGGGGAATTTCCACTCTGGCCTGCTCAAAGACCTGCAGAGAACAGCACAGCCTGAATAAGGTAGGGGCCTAGTACTCATTTATTATGGCTCTTGGAGGGGAGCCATAATGATATAAACAATAGTTATCCTTTTACCCATATTAAAAACTAATATAGGCTGACTTCCAGGTTTGGAGGAAAATGCTGAACAGTACAGTCACCCAGAAGAGCCACAAAACCAATAAAGAGAATAAAGAGACCAGACATAACCATTATCTTCAGCATTATTAAGAGATAGGGGCTACTACACAATCTCCAAATTACTTCTAAGTAAGAAAATAAGTTAAATTCCAACAGATCTCCTACCATCCCACCAGTGTACACTTCTACAAGCCTTCGAGTAACAAAACCAAGAGAGAAGGCTTAAGAAATTCAGTGAAAGAAAAAAAAAGCAAGGGATATGGAGTTATTAAATGATGCACAAACAAAACCACTCAGAGAAAAACGTCGGATTAAATATCAAATAATGAACACAAATCACAAGTCAAGCAAGGGAGAGGTACAGTTTGGAGCACAAAACACTGCAAATTCTCCTTTGTCTTTCACTGACTACAAGAAAGGTGGCTGGCAGCCTGGGAGAAGCAGCGTTTTGGAGGAAGACTCAAAGAGACATAAGCCGGGACCCACCTTTCCCCAAAACATTATGAACTCCTCTCTTCCCCGGCAACACTACGATATCATTCTCAAGAGAAATGCATTTGAAAGAGATGCCAGAGAAAGGGAAAGGAAAATTCACTGTTTTGTGCTCCTGACTGTGCCCCTCCTTTACCTGATATAAGAGCAATTAACAGGGAAGAAACTTCATACACCAGAGTTTCTCCCCTAGGATGGAAACATGAGTGGACTGTGTCCAACATTCTGAGTAGTCTGGGAGCTGTCTGGGAAACTGGTTTGTCTCACCTGATAGGAATGAAGGGCTTGTTTGGAAGTCACTAAAAATAGATGTGATCATTATGGCATGTCAGGGTGCAGTTCCACAGGAAGATCCCAGAGGAAGCAAGGGATTACATGCTCTAAAAAGAAGCAGAGACAAACTGCCTAGGAAATTTAGACAAGTAGAGCACATGCATAAAACCAGAGAAGACAAATCTTCAAAACAGGTTTGAAAGATTATGAAATCTCAGATTTCATGGCTGATTGGTGAAGGACTTCTGCGTGAAGCAATTCACACCAGGCTGTTTGTATCACTGAAAGCTCTAAAAGATTCGCCATTACTAGACTAGAAGTACTGGTTATTTTTTCAAATGCTTAAGTCTCAACAACAGCAACAAGAAAATCAGAAGGCATACAAAGAAACAGGGAGCCTAATCAAAGGAATTCTAGAAACAATCTAATGATACATACATCTATGAGTGACCAAAAATATTTCAAATTCACATACAGTCGTCCCTCAGTATCCACACTGAATTGGTTCCAGGACTCCCTGAAGATACCAAAATCTGCAGATGTTCCAGTCTGTTTATATAAAGTGGCAAACAAATCTCTGTATAACCTACACACAATACTTCTGTATACTTTATATCATCTCTGCATTACTTATAATACCTAACAGAATGTAAATGCTATGTAAATAGTTTTGTGCTACACTGTTTAGGGAATAATGACAAGAAAAAAGTGTGTTCAGTACAGATGTGTTTCTTTCTGAATATTTTCAGCTCATAGTTGCTTGAATCCATGGATGTGGAAACTACAGATTTGGAGGGCTGATTCTGTCTAAAAGACACTTCATGAACTGAAAGAGAATACAGACAACTAACAAAAATCAGGAAAACAATGCATGAACAAGGTAAGAGTATCAACAAAGAGAAATTATAGAAACTACCAAGTCTTGGAGTTGAAAAATTCAAAAGCTAAACTGAAAAATTCACGGGAGGTTCAACAACAGACTCTATCATGCTGAAGAAAGAATCTGATTTTGAAAGACAGATCATTTGAAATTACTGAGTCAGAAAAACAAAAAGAAAATAAAGATAAGTGAAATGAGTTTAAGGGATTTATGAAACACTATCAAGCAACTTATGGACACAAGTTACTCCTTGGTATTTGCTTAATGCATTGATAACTTATCACACCAAGACCTGCACACCGATGTTTACAGCAGCTTTGTTCATAACTGCCAAAACCTGGAAACAACCAAGATGTCCAAACACTGAGATGATACAATATTATTCAGTGCTAAAAAACAAATGAGCTTTTGGAGCCAATCCCAGTGCCCAGAAGGAGGCTCCCCTGCCGCCATTCCACCACTCCCAGGACAGAGGAGGTGAGCCCTGTGGGCACCAGCAGCACCTCCCCGGCCCCGACCCCATGGAAATAAGACACATAAACAAACCTCAAAACCAGACTTCCAGATCACCTACAACAACCTCAAAGGGAAATGAGATAGAACAATCTGATACTCAAAATAAATGAGCTTAACTTAAGTGTATATTACTAAGTAAAAGACACTAATCTGAAAAGGCTGTATACTATATTATTCCAACTATGTAACATCCTGGAAGGCCTCTATTCTATTCTTTCTATTTATTTGTTCGGCAGTATTGGGGATTGAACTCAGGTCCTCTGCACTGAGCTACACCCTAGTGCCTCCCTTGTTTTAAATTTTTTTTTTATATATTCTAAGACCAGATCTCACTAAATTGCCCAAACAAGCTGTAATACTTCTGCCTCAGCCTCCCAGTGTGCTGAGATTATAGGTGAGCACCACTGTATCTGGCTTACATGACATTCTGGAAAAGGCAAAACTGGAAGCAGTAAAAAAAATCAACGGTCTTCAGAGACTTGGGAGGAAGGAGAGATGAATAGGGACATTTAGTAGAGAATTTTTAGGACAGTGAAAATAATATATTATGGCATTATAATGGTGATATATGTCATCATACATTTGCCAAAAACCATAGCATATACAATACCAAGAGTAAACCCTAATGTAAACTATGGGATTTGGGTGATTATGATATGTCAAACTATATTCATCAGTTACAATAAATGTACCAATCTGGTATAGACTGCAGATAGTGGTGGAGGCTGTGCATGTGTTGGGGGAGTAAATGGGAAAGGTATCTTCTATGTAATTTTGCTGTGAAGCTAAAATTGCTCTAAAAATTCAAGTCCATCAAAAAATAATAATGCTCATAAAGCCTAGAAGGGAAAGGAAGGAAGGAGGGAGAGAGGGAGGGAAGGAGGGAAGAAAGAAAGGAAGGAAGGAGGGAAGAAAGGAAGGAAGGAAAGGAAAGGAAGGAAGGGAAGGGAGGAAGGAGGGAAGGGAGGGAGGAAGGAAGGAAGGAAGGAAGGGTGGAAAAATTCTCAGGACATCTGAAAATGAAGTACAGTGATCCTTGAGACATGGGAAACCAATGAGGTGAAGCCTGAAATTTCTCCAATTTTCCGCCTTGAGAAAGTTTCCAGGTCATGGAGAAGTGGGGAAACCTGGTAGCTAGAACCTAAGAGAGCAAAGAGCTGCACACAGGGAGAAGTCCAGAGATCTGCAAAGGATTTCTATCAAATGTTCAACTGACTACTGATTAGCATACCCATGTAAATCAGCTCCAATAAATAAAAGATCCAAGAAAGAACACTCAAAAGGAATACAGAGAAGAATTCCAAGGGCTCACACTGGGCCAAGAAGAATTTATATTCCCAAAAGACAGAGCATAAAATCTCCTAATTCATGGAGCATGAAGTGCTAAAAATGGTTTTGCTTCAGTAATGAGGAAAAATTCACTCTAGTTACACCTAAAAACCTTAAAAGCATGATCCAAAAGGATCAAAGTATTTTCAAGTAACTTTACCACACCACAGAACAGAGCTCAAAAATATTTACCGGAAAACAAAATAAAACAAAATATGGTACCTAGCAAGGTAAAATTCACTATGCAATTAAAAAAAAACCTACTGGGGTGGTGCACACCTATAATCCAAGAGGATCACCATGAGTTCGAGGACAGCCTGGGCTACATAGTGAGTTCAAGACCAGTCTAAATTACATAGCCAGACCATGTCAAAAAACCAAACCAAAACTACCACGAATGCAATGAAACATGAAAAAATCCATGATGAGAATAAAAATCACTTAGCTGCATATAATAGCTTATACCTCTAATTCCAGCTACTTGAGAGGCTGAGGCAGGAATAGTAAAAGTCCAAGGCCAGCCTGAGCATCTTAGTGAGAACCTGTCTCAAAATAAAATGATAAAAAGGGCTAGGGGGCCAGGGATTTAGCTCAGTGGTTCCACCACCTGCCTCATAAGCACAAGGTCCCGAGTTCAATCCCCGGTACAAAAGGGGGGGGGCTAGGAATGTAGCTTGGTTGTATAGTGCTTTCTTAGCATGAGTGAAACACCTTGGATTTAATCCCCGGGGTGGGGGGGTGGGGGGAAGTGAAGCGAAGAAAAGAAAAGAAGAAAGGGAGGAGGAAGGAAGGAAGAAAAAGGAAGGAAGGAAAGAAGGAAAGAAGGAAGGAAGGAAAGAAAGAAAGGGAAAGGAAGTAAAGAAAGCAAGCAAGCCAGCCAGAGAGACAGACAAGACACAGAGCATTCACCTTGAATTCCATTTACTGAGAAGAAAAAAAATGTCACCACAATTGAAAGAAAAACTTCCTTAGAGCTAAAACTTCCTGAGACTGCCAGCATGTCCCTGATGATCTCCTATCCTAGAACCCACACTTTAAAAGTACCAGCACCCTCACTGAGGTGGTATCAGTATCATTAAAAAAAAAGATCAATTAAAGCTAATCCACATATGACACAGAACATCAAATTAGTAGGTAAAGATATGAAAATGGTCACTGTAACCATACTCTGAAATTCAAAAGACTAGAGGAAAGTTTGAGGTACATTAAAGTCATGGATCTAAGAGAGCCAATTTAACCTGTAGAAATTAAAACTAGTGTTCGAGGTGAAAGTACACTGGACAACATTATCAGTAGATTTAGATACTGCAAGAGAAAGGTTTAGGGAACTTGAAGACATACCAATGAAAAATACCTACAATAAAACAAAAAAAACATTGGAAAAAACCCACAGCATCAATGAGTCATAGGACAATTCTAAACATCCTAGTGCATTTACTTTTTGTTGTTGTTGTTGTTGTTCAAGCTTTTATTGAAGTGCAATGATCCAGGATGAATCTTAGATCTTGTTAAAAGCAACCACGTCCATGGACTGCACATGGCCCTCAAAGGTAGTGATCTGCTCCTCCAGCATACCTGTTCCAACTTTATCATCTTCAACTACACACCGTATTTGCAGTTTTTTAATTCCATATTCCACTGGAACTAGCTTAGAGGAGCCCCAGACCAAGCCATCTGCCTAGTGCATTTATAATGGGTATCCCCAAAGGAGAGGCAAGTAGTGAAAGAAAAAACCAGGAGTAACGGTCAAAAGTTTTTGTAATTTAATAAAAATGATACACTCACCAATCCCAGAAGCTTACCAAGGTACAAGCACAAGAAAGAAAAATGTTACACCAAAATACATCATGTCAAGTTACTTAAAACCAATGAATAAAGGCTGGGTCTATAGGTCAGTGATAGAAAACATGCCTAGCATGTATGAGGCCCGGGGTTTGGTGTATTTATTTCCATGAAATACACACTGAAGTAATCAGTGGTAAAGTACTAGGATGGGTGTAGCTTATTCTCAAATGGTTGAGAAAATGTCATACAGAGAGAGGAGGACAGAAAGTGGAGAAGGAAAAGTGTAAGCATCTTGTAAGAAGAGGGAGAGTGAGCAGGAGAATATAACTGTACACATTAAAGCAAATACAGCAGACTGTTAATAAAACGTGATTCAAATAGAGGTACATAGAACTTTTATCATTCAAGAAAGTTTTCCTTAAGTTTGAAATTATTTCCAAATAAAATGATAAAAAAATACAGGTCTTCTGGATATGACAATATAATAACTTGATCTTTTTGATGTAATGCTTGTTTTACACATACATCAATGATAAAATAAGGAAAGAAAAAACCAAAAGGATAAATTAGTCTCAAAACCAAAATAAACATTTCCATAAACCAGAAACAGAACAGAAATTTAAAGTAGTGTGCAAGGCCAAGCCACAGGCCTGCTGGGGTCTGGAAGCAGACTCTGGCAGCTGGCCGCTCTGCTCCTATGCACTAAATGGGACTTAAAGCTGAGACAGTAGCCAGACTTACTAACTGTAGCCAGAGATGCTGTTGAAAAAAAGCTTGATACTTGCATGGGATGCAAAGGACTACATTCTCTTCTGTTCTGAATGCAACCTACAAACCTACAATAGGTCACTCACCTCTTTATTTGAAAGGCACTTAATAGTTTCACAGTTTCCATAAGAAGAAAGTTCAGTAGCGCCTTTCTCCAGTGCCACAAAAAGGAGCTTCTGACCCACTAAGTTCACACATTCTAAAACACTGTAGAGTAGCAGAAGAGCTCAAGGTCAAAATAGTTTTTCATAGCCTGGAAATTATTTCTGTAACTATACTGTTCAATATGCTAGCTACTGGCAACATGTAGTTATTTAAGTTATAATAAAAATTCAGTTCCTCAATGGCACTAGTCACATGTGATTAGTAGTTACAACACTAGATAACACAGATACAGAACATTTTCTCATTGCAGAAAACCAAACTCGATAATCTTGCTCCAACAAGGAGGGGAAAGATAAACAAGAAATATGGCCAAAGTTCTCTATCAAAGTTTAAGCCAGATTCTAAGGACCTGATATATTTGTTACGGTCTGCAGTCAAATCTTTTTTGAGCCTGGTTTGGTGTTTTATTTGTTTGTTTGTTTTTTCCAATTTGGAAAATACATCAAGGCTGCAGATCAATTCTTCTAACCAAAATACCAACAAGTCTACCATCTTCTCCAATGTTATTTAGTTCAAAATATTCTAGTCTCTTACTTTTTAGAAAAATATACCACTTTAGACCAGCTACTAGATTCAGAAAATTAGAAATCAGATTCTCCATTTGTTTTTGCTCTTGTTTAGAACTGGAAAACATCACCTTGTGTTTGGGTGTGGAATTTCTGTTGTGTTTCTTGGCTTTTGACCTGCTGCTTGCAGTTCTTGGTGACTACCTAGTGACTCCAGATTGAGCTCTGCAATCTAGAAAAAATAAAGTAAAAATCATCCAATTTCTTTTTTTTTTGGTATCGGGGATCAAACTCAGGACCTTGTGCTTGCGAGGCAGATGTGGTGCCACTGAGCTAAATCCCCAGCCCAATCATCCAACTTCTTGCAAAGCATTTGATATTAAAAGAAATAACAAAATCCACTCAAGTGGCGTTCTGGATTCTTTAGGTCATCGTTTTGCCATTGCAGTCGTCCTGGGCTGGCTTCAGTAGTTACCAGCTGGTTTCTGGCAGCTTTTCCAAGAATGGCAACCTCTTACCAGCTACTTACTGGTACAGTTACATGAATATGAGAAAGGGCCAAGTAAGGCTGAGTAAAAAGAGACGGCAATTTTGGCTCATCATTCCATACCCAGTCACCTAAAATGTACTTCTCTATAAACATACAATTTTTGGAAATAATAAAACAATGGCTTTTATAGTAACATCAAAAAAGACATTAGTTTAATAAAGAACCATAAAAAAATCTATTCTAATTGATGTTTCTTCTTCCATGAAGTGGGTGTCTACTTGGGAGTTGTAATGCAGAAAATGAAATACAAAAAAAAAATTTTTTTTTTTTTGGTACCGGGGATCGAACTCCGGCCCTTGCGCTTGCACAGCAGGCAGCAAAACCACTGAGCTAAATCCCTGGCCCTCAAAAAAATTTTTTTCTGAACCAGGGATTTGGACCCAAGGCCTCACATATACTACTACACTTTCTCTACCGCTGAGCCTGAGCTACATTCCCAGCTCTTTTTTATTTTGAGACAGAGTCTCACTAAGTTGCACAGGCCAACCTCAAAACTGGCAGTCCTGGGCTGGGGATGTAGCTCAGTGGTGTAGTACCTGCCTGGCAAATTTGAGGCCCTGAGTTCAATTCCTGGTACCAATATCGATACATCAATATTAATTAAAGTCCATGTATAATTCAGATTTCCTTACTTTTTTTTTTTGGTACCAGGGATTAAACAGATTTCCTTACTTTTTATCCAAGTAAAATGTAATTTTCAGTGTAATTCAAGTATAACATGGTCTCAAAATATGGACTGAGCACACTTGAGGGTTCCAGAGACCCTTTTAGAATGAGGTCTTCTTTTCTCCAAATGCACAACTCAACAGACTGAATATAAAATCAGATACAAAAAACAACTTGTCTTCTATTAAGCTAAACATTAAAGAAATTTGGAAAATATGTAAAACAATATTCTTGCCACTGATTTTTTTAAATGTTATTCCATAGTCATAAAAATAAATTATATTAACATGAGTTTATTATTTGATATTTTAAACAAATTAATAGGTATTAAAAATATTATTCTCATATTTAATTTCCAAATTATGGTAAATGTTGATAGATGTGATCCACATAAACATAACCTCATTGAGAGTAAAGAAGTCTTGAGACCAGAAAGTTTTTAGAACCTATGACGGTTTAGAGAGGAGCTAACCAGTAAATACTTTTTCTAAATCAGGTTTTACTGGCTTACAACTGCACCCATTTGTTAACACAGTCTATGGCTGCTTTTGCATTATAATAGCAAGTTGAATAGTTGTAATACAGGCAATATAGCCTGCAAAGCCTACAATATTATCTGCCCTTTATTTAAAAAAAGTTTGATTAAGTCTGGTGTGGAGCACAAACATGCTTTGGAATCTGACAAACCTGGACTTGAATGAAGTTTGGCTCCATCTGATAAGTAGTAGGTCCCCAGATAAATTATCTAACTTTTCAAAACCTTAGAATGCTCAGGTATAAAATCGTTTGCTGAGGATTAAATAACAATTTCGACGAAGCATTTTAAAACAGTAGGCTCAATAAGAGCTCGATATATGGCAACTATTATATCTGCATGCTCAAAAGATCTCAGAATTGTAGTAGTAGAATGTCTTTCTACCACAATGACAAGAAACAGTATTCTAGCTTTGGTTATTATTCTATATGGGTAATTTATTTCATAATAGAGTCCATTTACTTCATAATATGATGGAACATATTATGCAGTGGGTCAACCTAATAGGTTAGCGTGCACTGTAAGAAAATCTTTCAGAAACTCCATTCTCATCAATGTCTCCCTTATGTGTTACTCTAGTTTATACCCACTGAACTGCTGCTGAAATAATGGTATGTGGCCCCAACCACAAAAGAGCAGAAATCTGTGTAGAGTTTTAATAATTATTAGCATTAGCTACATAGTAAGTGTGGTGCTTAATATATTTAAGGCACTATGGTAAGAGCTTTACACAGAGTATCTCATTTACCCCCACCCAAATCCCATAAAACTGTATCCCCATTTTACAGATTTAGAAACAAGTTTTTCAAAGAAATCACCTAGACGATAGAGCTAAACTTAAGGGTCTATATTTAAAAATACATAAGCCCAACTTCAGAGACTACTCAACTATATTAGGCTACTTAGATGGGTTTTATTTCCAAACGCAAACTTGGCTTCAATCTCATTCTCATTTTTGTAAAGAAAGGTAACAACAGGAAATGATAATATGTGATTGTCTGTTCCTATCCCATAGATTTTTTTTTTTTTTAATCCCATAGATTTTTGTTTTTTGCTTTTTTGAGACAGAGTCTCACTCTGCAATTCAAGCTGGCCTTAAACTCACTATGTAGCCCAGGCTGGCCTTGAACTCCTGGCAATCCTCCCACCTCAAGCTCCCAAGTCCTGGGATTACAGACGTGTGCCACCACCCCTGGCTATGGTCCCATAATATTACAGGCAAAAATACTAACCTTCTTTGGGCCATACTTAAGGAAATACTGAGCCAATTCAAGGGCTGTTCTAGCATCTTCTGTGGCATCATGCTGAAGCGTGTTTGGATGCTGTATATCCTTCCTGGAAAGTCAAGATGAAACTGACATACTTGGCAACATTTTTCTTTTTCTTTTGGTGCTGGGGATTGAACTTGGGTCCTTGTGCTTGCAAGGCAGGCAGCAGAACCACTGAGCTAAATCGCAGGCCCTTGGCAATATTTTTGATGACAGGCTCTGTCAAACATGTCAAATGGCCTATTTAAACATAAAGTTTCTACACTGTGATAACCAGTGTTCTAGGGAAACATTAAGTTTCAAGACTGTGATAATCAAATTCACATCACAACAATCAAGAATCCTTTATTTTGGCTAAATGCCAGGCCCTAAGAGATGTGCTGGAGATACAGAATAATCAAGAGTGGTTTTGTCAATAGCAAGTATAAATCTGGACAAAAGGCTATTGCAACAGGAAGTCTATACCCCACTTCTCGGTCATCATTTCTTAGATATAAAAACTGCTGAAAAGTTACCTTTCAGAATTTTCTATTCAAATACAAGTGTCTAAATGTACTTAAGTCCTTTCTCTGTTGTTTTCATAAAACTTTACATGTATTTATGTCTACAGGAATATCTAAATCTAATCCATATCACATCAATATCTAGGAAATTATTTTATTCTAAATATTATTTTGCTGAGGTCTCCATACTAGTAAACACAGAGCTCTTAAACAACGAAGTGTTCAACAATATAACCATAATTTTTGAAATTTTGGGTAACTTTTCTATCCTTTCTTATCTGGTTCTATTCATCAGTCCCTTTTACTATTCCCGTATTTCTTCATTTCACAAGAAATGAAAGGAATAACGTTTACAAACTACCAGGGAGAGCAGAGACCCTGAAGTTTGCAATATGTATTACATTAGATACTGCAGGCTAACTTATATGCAATTTATCAGGACAATATTATAATATAAATAAACCTACCCCAAAATAGCTTTGGCTAAGAATTTTAGCTTAAATCTTCTGCCCTGCTCTCTGACATAAAGCAATGAGGTATCAATAAGATATGGATGTATCATCTGAGGAGAAAGAGAATAGAATGAGTAGCATCTTATGCTAAAGGAAAAAAACAAATTAAGTTGAAGGTAGAAGAGTTCAAGGCTTTAGATTTGAAATAAACAGAATTGCATTTGTACTAGAAAAGTGAAGTCCTAAATCAGATACGCACTTTCAATGCTCTGAGATCCAAGTCTAGCGAGTGTCCGACTAACACAGCATCAGGTGGAAGCAGTGCACTTAATTGCCTCTGTACATCTTTGAGTTTGGTTGCCACTGAGTTAAAAATAGTCTTTGTGATTCCTGAAAAGCTTTCAATGAAAAAGGAAAATGGACAGGCCATAATATTACAAAGTTTTTCTTCCTAGAAAGTTCTTTAAGAAAAGAAATAATAATATATGCTCAGTGTAGAAAATACAAACAAGCAGAAGAAATTAAAAATTAGTCATAATCCCATTACCCAGAGATTACCATGTTTTATTCTATTAAATACCCTTTCTTTTTAAAATTAATTTATTTTTTTGTGTGTGATACTGTGGATTAAACCCAGGACCTCACACATACCAAGCAAGTGGTCCCCAACTGAGCCACATCCCCAGTTCTTTTTTTCTTTTATTTTGAAACAGAGTCTGGCTAAATTGTCCAGACTGGACTTGAACTTGTGATAATCCTCCTCTACCCCTCCCCACCCTGCCAATTAGTTAGGTGTGGGGTACTATACCCCATCTTCCATATTTTTTGATGTGTATATGTTGATGGATATATTTCATTTTTATAATAATGCAATCATAATACATGTGCTGCTTTACCTCATGATCTCTTTTAATATACCATAAGGAACCTTTTAAATAGCTACAGAATATTCTATTATATAGTTATAACTTTTTAATCCTCTACCTTCAGATATTTATATTTCCATATTTGTATAATACTATGTATGACAAACATGCTTGTACATACATCTCTACCACACATGACTACTGTTTAAGAATATTCTCTAATTATCAAGTCTGCTAATAGAACAGTCTATACTGCTGTCATGATCTCTGTGTAAGCATGAATCTATAGGTACAGCTTAAATGGATTGAAACAGTAATGTTTCAATGATGTTTTCATTGCATATCATTGTGTGTACATTTTAAAATTATAGGCTAATCTTTGGAAAAACAGACTAAAATTTAGAGCTTTAAATTTCCATTATGGAAAAAATTAGTTTCATTTGTTTTTTGATGTCAATGCAGATTAAGCACTCAGGTCATTTGAATGTCAAGTAACAGCCTACAGATTTTCAGATGAGGTGTTATCAGAAAGCAAATTTCCTTCCAACTGTTTGGCAGTTGCTAGATAATGAATACAAATGGAGGATTCTATGACAAGGAAGATAATATTCTGCTGACTTAATATCACAAGATTAGGAAACAAAAACTATACACCAACATTGTACAATTGCAGTATTAAGATATAACAAGGTGTTGCCCCAGCCTTTTCTTTGATAATATATAAGTAGGTAAAACCCAAGTAAGCAGAAGCTGTGGGCTTTTCCTGTTAAGTCTTATTCCCTGATACTTCTGATAGCTCTAGGAAGAGCTGCAGGTGAGATGAAAAATACCTGGTGTGGTAGTCCACAATCCTGATATCAGGTTTGACCAGTTCATCCATAATACAGCAGCCCCCTTCAGCTACCAGTGAGATGCGTGTTAGTTCTCTCCCCTTGGATGTGAGGCACTGAAAGACCAGGATACAGTCAGCGTGCTGAACTGTGAAAGCTACCACTTCCTCTGATTATCCACACTAAGTCATCTGTCACCTATGCTCAACTACCAAACTCACTGGAGCAATGGCAAAGACATTTGCTTCCTATAGGATCTAGTATGAATGAAATATTCTAGCCTGCTCACTATTACACTTAAGGGAAGCAACACGGATCAACTATAGGAAAGGACAGCCTCAAGGAAGATGAATGGAAAAAATATCAATCATAATTTTATCTACTATATATAGAGTGTGTATTATATCCAGTATTATGGTAAGTACCAGTAATAGATTACTTTTGACAATTTTTTTTTTGGTACTGGGGATCGAACTCAGGACCTTGCGCTTGTGAGGCAGGTGGCAGAACCAGAGCTAAATCCCTGGCAATAGATAACTTTTATTAAACATACTCCTATAATCTTATGGGGTAGCCTTTATTATTAACCTCAAATTCATAGAAAAAGAAGCTAAGAATGAGAGAGAGAAGGGGACTTGTCCAACAACCACAGCCTGATACGTCAGACTTGAAAACTTTAGCTTTTAGCCAATCTATTAAGAATTAAGGAACTGATTGTTGAATACTGAGAGAGGATACATTGCCTTTAAAAGATGATTTGATAAATTTTGGCAAAGTAAAACACAAGTAGTGGTAAAGCAGAGAAATCCTGCTTCTGATTTTCACCTAAAACTAAGGCAAACCAATGATAATTAAGGCAGTCTTCATGGCAAGAGTAACTACATACTTGGTCAAAAGACAAGAGTAAACTTTTAGTATTGTGTAAAGACTTGATTAAACACAGCAGCTAGTTAGAAAATGTATATGCTTATTCTTCTTCTAGAACATAGATCCAAATTGTCTAAAATGTGAATAAAAGAGTCTACTTTCAGCTATTGAAACTCAACACTGAAACTGAATGCATTGGTTCATTAGACTCAAGAACCAACTTCCATTAAATCCCAGTTTGCAACATTCCAGCTGAAAAATCGAGTGTCTCTTACCATTTCACAAGCAAGTCCAAACAGAGGGCTGTTGTCTGTTATAGAACCATTACATTTGGTAGGTATAAAGTTTTCACAGTCAGGAGAACCTAGGAGGAAAAATAAAATGTTTACCTTTAGAACCAGAGATGGTAAATATCAGTCTTAGATTCATCCAGAGAAAATGAAATACCGTATTTGTTATCTTGTCTGTTACTTACTTCAAAAACTTAACAAGAGGAAATCTTTGTCCTTAAGTTTTTCTCCATCTACCCATTTTTGTACTCTGAGAAGCCAAGTGTGGTGGTGCACACCTGTAATCCCAGCACTGAGGGAGGCTGAGGCAAGAGGATCATCATGAGTTCAACATCAGGCTGGGTTACATAGTGAGTTCAGGGCTAACCTGAACTACACAGTGAGATCCTGTCTCAAAATAAAATAAAATAAAATAAAAAGAAAGAATAATATGGGCCTCCTGTTAGAAGGCATTGTGGAGCCTGGACTTCCGGGCAATTACCAAGTGATAACTTTTTCTCCTTATCAGAAGAGAAATAACAACAAAATTTTGTCTAAATCCAAAGTCAATGGATTCTTTCCATCTAGGAACCAAGAGAATGAATAAAGTATATAAATGACTACATGTGGCATTTTTCTTTCCTAAATAAAGCAAGAGAAAATAATTCTACCATAGTAGACATCTAAAAGAATTGTAGAACGGGCAAACAGTGGGCGTAACGTTCACTATGCACACCCCTCCATGTAACTCCACCCTTGAGATTTCTCTGGAATCTCCATTAAGAAATTTATGTTCATTTTCTGGAATCATAAACTAAAAATTCCCTATTATGGCTCAACTACAGGCTTAGGGTACTTCTTCCATTGTATACCTTAAGTAAAACTGTAGAGCTTTCAATGATAACCAACAGCCTGCTGCAGCATACGTGCCATAGGCTTGCCACCACTGCCCTAAGTAAATAGACTATTTAACACTATGACCCAAAATATTTGAATCACAGAAGATTTCTACCTCCAGACAAAAGCTGAAGCTGAAGCAGTAAAGCTAACATAAAAATATTGTTTGACAAGAAATAAAGGGGAATATGAAAACTTTTGGCCAGTTTCTCTCACCAGGTACCTTAGAATTTCCAACCGACTCCAATTAAAAGAATCAAACTATGGTATAGTCCAGAAATGAAAGGCACCTCCAAATCTGGGAGATACTGTATTTGCTACTCACCCTATCTGTACTATTAGTGGCATTAAAAACAAATAAAATTACTAACATTGTTAAAGTATTTTCTAAGCACCTTCTCTTTTCCCCAATAATAGAGGCTGAACCCAGGGCATTCACACTGAGCTACATCCCCAGCCCTCTTTTGTAATTTTATTTTGAGACAGGGTCTGGGATTACAGGCATGCACTACCATGCCCGGCAAGAAGCCAGGGTTAAAAGATCCTATATTTCATGATTCCATTTATATAAAATATCCAGAATAGATAAATTTATAGAAAGTAGACTAATGGTTGCTTAAGGCTAAAGGAACTATAGGGAAATGACAATACAGTATTTCTTTTGGGGTGATCAAACTGTTCTAAAATTGACTGTAATAATGGCTATACAACTCTCTGAACATACTAAAAAATACTGAATGGTATACTTTAAATGAGTGAGTTACATGAAATATTAGATCTCAATAAAACTCTTTGTTGAAAGCTGAATAACCATTAGGAAAGCAGCCAGAACAATGAACTTTCAACAATATTTAAATAAACAGTTAAAGATTCTTACATTGTTAGCAGCATTAGATTAAGTCTAAACCAACCTTGTAATGGAAAGTGAAATGTTTTCATTTCCTCCATTGTTAGAAGGCAGCAGCTCAGGCCTACTTTTTTAGAGCCATGCTTTTGAATAATGGAGTCATTATGCAGGTTGATGTTGGCTTTTGAACTAGAAGAAGGTAAAGATCCTATAACAAGAAAGACAATTGAATATATCTTAGAATGTATATGTAAGAATTTCAGAAAACATAGCTCCTAATGTTGTGTGGGGTCCTGCAATCTAATATAGTTTTAAGAACACAAAGAAAATAAATCCCAAATGGGTTGTAATAATAAAGGCTATAAAAGAGAAAGAGGGAAGAATATATTTCAGGTTGGAGTGGTGAGAGATATTTTAAGAAAGTAAGATTAGCTGAATCTTGAGGAAAAGGCAGAATTTAGATAGCTGGTGAGTTAAACTTGTCCCTTATAGTTCCTGTCCATTCCCAACAACCCATTTTAACTAAATCTATTCCATTCCTAATAATCTAGTCAAGCAGCCTGTCTCTTAACCAGTCACCAACAGTGTTTGGATTAAGGGTGTGGACCTAGCTCAAAAGGGACTCACCTATAGGATGAATAATGACTTGCTATTCCTTGTCAAGATGGAACAATGGAATTAGCTGCACTGATCATATTGCCTGCGTCCAGAATTTTAACTAGAAAATAAGCTGGTCTGCTGCTGCACACCTATGATCCCAGGACTCTGAAATCCTAAGGCAGGAAGACTGCAAGTTTGAGCCCAGCCTGGGCAACTTAAGAAAAACCCTGTCTCAAAATAAAAAATAAAAAGGGCTGGAGATATAGGTCAGTGGGAAGGCTTGGGAGTGAGTAGAAAAAGAAAAAGAGATCTCAGATGGAATGAGGAAAAAAGGGATGAGAGAGAAAGACAAAAATAAATTATAGACCAGCACGTGTGCCAGGTTCAAGAGTCTGAACTTTAGTCCATCATTCAATACAAGATGGGGAGCAAGAGAAAGTTCCTGAGGGGGAAAGTGACGTAAGAAAGAGTATTTTAAGAAAGATCAGCCTCAAATTTTCTTTGCAAAAGAATTATGACTAGAGTCTGGGTTAAGATGGTGGAAGGAGGCCAGGGATTTAGTTCAGTGGTTTCGCTGCCTGCTACACAAGTGCAAGGACTCGAGCTCAATCCCCGGTACCAAAAAAAAAAAAGATGGGGAAGGAAAGAAGGAAAAGGGATATATGAAGAGAAATATTTACAAGAAAAACTGGTACAGTGTGGTGACAAAACAATTCAGTTAAAAACAATTTACATGCTTATTATACGCTTGGCAATGCTCTAGCCACTAGGGATTCCCTAATAAAACCAACAAAATGTCCTATGGAACTTAAATTCTGTGTGAGAAGATAGATAGTAAATAAATATTTAATATAGTAGATGGATATAAGAGCTACGAAGAAAAGTCATGGAGGAAAAGGAGAATAGGGATTGCTGGAGCAGGAAACAGGTTACTGTCCTATATTTACATATCATGGAAGGTCTCTGACAAAGTGGCTTCTGAATAGAGACTTAGAGAAACAAAGGGAATGAGACTGAGGATAGAAAGACAAAAAAAAAATAATACTAAAATTCAAGACTAGCATCTTAAAGAAAAATATACTAACAGAAGGGATCTACAGAAGGGAGCCCATTATTTGGGAATGAAAAAAATGTTTTTAGCTATGCCAAGGATAAGGGGACAGTGGAATGTCTAAGCAATAATGTGCAAAGGCAATTGAAAATACAGACCTGCAACCTGCGACATCAGATTTAGACATCATTTGCAGAAGGTGAAATTGGGAAAAACAGATGAAGACTCCAAAGGAAGATCAGAAAGTCATGGACTATGCCTTGGGGATTTTGATATTTAGAATGGAAGATGAAGCAAAGTCCTTAAGACAATAAAAAAAAAAAAAATTGCCATAGCCTCTCTGGCTCCTAAATGCCTACAGAATAAAATTCAAAGTCCTTCTGGATAAAGAAGGTGTAATTTTTTAATAAAATGGAGTACTACTCAGCCATAAAGAACGAGAAACTAGAGACATTTATAGTTAAGTGGATGCACATTGAGGCCATACTCTTAAGTGAAATAAATAGGACACACATGGGTAAATACCGAATAGTTTCTCTGGTGTGAAAAACTGAAGTGTAAATAAGGACCAAAATGTATAATTGATAGTGTGAAATAGGAAGAAAAGGTCTAAAGGAGCAGGGGAAGTGGGAGGGGTAGGGGAAGGGAAGGAAGGGAAAAGAAAAAATATGAGAAAAGGAAAAAATGGAAACAAAGTCTTTGTAAATAGGGAAGGGTGGAGGTGGTGAAGGGAGGGCAGGGGAATGGGGAAAAAATAAGAACCAAGATACATCATGTAAAAGTACAAGATCTCAATGATGAATGTAACTGTATTGTGTACCTAAAATGTACCAATAAAGTTAATGGGAAAAAAAAATTCAGTCCTTATGCTCTGCATTCAAAACCTGTAGGACGTGGTCTTAATTTGCCTCTCCAGCCTCAACTCTCACCACTACCTCCTCCTGTTCACCTCTGCATCCCCAACAAGCTATATTCTTCAGTCATGTCAAATTGCTTTTTCCTTGTCTTTCACAGCTCAAGATCTTTATTAGAACCTAAAATAATTATTTTATTTACTCAAAGATACAGTTATTTACTCAAAGATAAAATAAAAAGATAAACATAGTACACATTAAACCGAACACAGCTACAGGTCAAATACGGGCATCTGTTGGAAGGAGAGGGAAATAATGGAAAAGTGGGAAATTAAAAGATGCTGCTGAGACAAGATTGGACTGCAAAAGATGCTGAGATTACAGGTGTGCACCACTACACCCAGCTACCAGATGGTTTCTGAGACACGAACTCTGCCTATGGTTCCTGCTAACTTCTCTGGGTACCTGCCAATTATTCCTTTTTAAAAAAATTGCTTTTCTGCTTATGTCAGTCAGAACTGAACTCTGTTGCTTACAATAAAGAAACTTGACTTACAAACCTGATAATGACCTTATCTATAAAATCAATGGGCAAAGCATCAAACTAGTCAGTCTTACCTTTACTGGTCTTGGGCAGATCTCCAGTTGTTTTCTTTTGCAGGCCAATGATATCAGCTAGAAAATTAGATGATTGAGGAGGCAAGCAGAATTTCTGAAAATATATTAATAGAGTCTTTCAAAAATGCTTGAAAACAAAGTACTGAAAAGTCTGGACTTGTTAGCTCATTGTATCAAAGGTCTAGACCTTAACTGTCTGCATTATAAAATAAGAACTGTTTCCTTAATGTGAAAAAATGAGGTAAATGAAGCCACATTTACTACCACCATTACCCCCTGGAAATTTTTTTTGGTTTCTCTCATTATGTATTGCAAAAAGGATAAATATTACAGAAATGTATAACTTAAAGAAAGTTCCTTATATTTTAAAAATCATTTCATATCTACTTTTTCATTGTATAGCACGCCAAGTAATCAGGACAGAAGATATAGCAGGGAAAAGAGCTGGAAAGCTCCAGCCTCAGACTCACCTGGGCTTAACTTCTAACTCTAGCATTTACTAGGTATAACTTACGTTTCTTATGCATGAAATGGGATTTAAAAACCATCTCTCTTATTGATAAGGTGATGTACATAGCATGATTAATATTGGGAATGGCATACAGAAGGTGCTCAATAAATGAAAGCAGTAAAGAAAATGAAAACTAAGGGAGATTAAATTAGGGCCCATCATCTCAAATTCCTTTAAGAGTAAATGGATAACACAGGGCACTAGGGAATGGAGGAGGCTATGGGAACATGGAGATGACATGCCTCTTCTCAAGATTACAAATGATGTTCAGCTCCAGATAATGTTCTGAGAATGTCTGATCTTAGGATTTCTTTTTAAAAAAGAGGTAGACAAACACAGATTTTATGTAAATTTTACAATGTCTAAAAATACCATACTTCAAATAAAACAGGGTAATATCAACCCAGGAACTAGATTACAATTTGGGAATAAGTGTTTTGCCTAGATTACCAAAGACAAATCTAATTTCAGCATGTGATGTCTCTATTTCTTTTGTTTTCTATATCCTTTGTTACTGGGTTCAGCTAGGTTGCCATGGAGCATATTCTGAGATACATGCACTAGTCTCAGGATAGGACCCTAATACAGTTTTCTTAACTTACATGTCTGAATGTCTTCCAGAGTAATTCGAACTCCAAATAGAACTTGTAGAAATGCAACTGACTCATCCCTTGTAGAATAAAAACCACCACATTGTTTGGGTGGTTTTGGGGCAAAATCTGACACCAACTATTGAAAAATCAAACTTACATGTCTGAATATCTTCCGGAGAAATTCGAACTCCAAATAGAACT